TTGTCCTTTCAATTGTCATGTTTTCACAACCATTAACTCTTTGTGAGAGGAAAAGTAACGTTGTCTCTTCTGGTCCCTGAGAGCCTTCTTTAGTTTACATATCTAGTCAGCACATTCCTTTCATGCATCCTCTTACTCAGGGTTCTTGTATCCTGGCAGGCCCACAGAGAGCAGATTAATTAACAGCACCGTTTCCCAAGAATGACTTCAGGCTCATTTCTGGGGGTGTTTCATGAAAATCACGTGGTTTATTTCCACTTTATTTTTTACTTTATCACTTTCACTTTCCCAGATTATATCGGGGGTTTCTGTCCTTATGCAACCTCTTTGTTTAGTCATACAGCAGAAGAACACAAAATGATGACTATGTGGCACAGTTAATTCTAGAGGATAGAGAAATGTATATAATAGGTGAATCCAGTCATGTTATGCTGTACATGTTCCAATGTCTCTCAGGTGTCTCCATGTTTGTACTTCTTCTGTACAAACAGCTCAAACCTGTGACTTTCTACACTGCTGGAAAAGTCACACCATCAACACGTTGACAAAAATAAATAAAAAACTGAGAGAGTAAAGTCCTCCACTAGAGCTGCCATTTTTTAACACCATTAATTACTCTGGGGCTGATTTGTGTAAACGTCTGAGCACAGTTGAAAATGAAACCAAATGAACTGGAAAGGTTTTAAAGACAGTTGATCAAGCTTTCTGAGGCTGCACCCTGCACGTCTTTGAATAAGAACAGGAAGTACCCCTGGAAAATAAAACTGATAGTGATCAGGGCGCAGGCTTTAAAATCAAATGGGCGAGTCAACACACTTTGTAACATTTCATTTATTTGTTTAGTTGTCAGTTCCTCTGACTCTGTTGATAGGAAACTTTGGCTTTTTGTCAAAAGATAAAAGCTCACTACAATTCATTGACATTTTAATGAAAGCCCAGTGTGTCTGATATTATACTATGCAAAGGCTCCTGGATTGAGAGTTCAGAATAACACATGCCATGCTTGTTTTTATTTTCTGCATAGAGAGTGTTTCAGTAACATGACTGGAATCTTAATGCTTGTTTTCTTAACTGAAGCCCCTTGTTTGTTTTTTAGAGCCTCCTTGCTGCACATTTTCTCTCTCCTCCTTCTGCTTCCATCTGATGGGCTGTTCAAATAACCTTTGACCCCAAATGGGCTAAGGATGATTTGCTGTGTGCAGCTGTTTATTCTCAGCATTCTCACATTCCCTAGTTGGACTTCAGAATCATTGTTCTTATTTCCATTCATCATTTCTGTAGGACACAAGAGCCCAGGCAGGATGTGGTTACACTATATGTTCATTGCTTCCCTATTAAGTCTGCATCTCAGCCTCCAGGATTTGTTATGTATTTCTGGAGATATTTCTTTATCAAAGTTATCACCATATGGCGACTCATCGTTAGCACTCCTACGTCCAATCCATCAGTGCATCAGGGCAAACGTATCCACATTTCTAAGAATAAATATCATGCATATCCTAGAATATTCTGCACTTCTGAAAACCGACACAACTAAAAGCAGGATGTGACCACAATCATGATGAATTGTGTGGAATTTCCAGGGTTCAAATTGGATTCTTCCTGAATGTGAATGGTGCTATATTGACAAAACAAATGTTCTAAGGAAATAAGTTAACATGGCTGTAATGGATAATTGTATTACAAAACCATATTAATACAAACACATGAGCCAGATTTCATTTCTGAATCATTGTAATAAGAATGTTGGTCGAACAACCTTCTGTCATAAAAATGCAAATATGATGCTGGTAGAGCTGAAAATATTCAATCTGTCTTGAAATGTGGGAGTGTGGGTGTGAATCTATGTGCTGGCGACCTTCAGAAGTGTGGGCATAATAAAGCCTTCCAGCATGCACGCAGAATGTTTCTGACAGTTTAGCCTGACTGAGAAAAGGAACGTGAAATTATCACTGCTATCAGATTTGTTCCTTGCTTGTAGTAAAGAAGTGCTCAGCCAGTGCTTTATGTATACATCTATTTCAGACATGTGGTGAAGAATTCAAGAACAAATAAGTACTTTTTACATTTTATCTTAAAATATTTGTGTATATGCAGAAAATATTATTAAAAATTACATTAGTTTCTATTGTGTGAGATACATATAGGTCCTATGTTAAATATTATAATTTTTTAACAACAGTAACACAGGCTCATACTTTTAATTACATATACCATATTTACAAACTCTTCAATATACAAAAGTAACTTGGTCCTCACATAAATGGACTGTATTTATATAGAGCATTTTTCCACAGTGTGTTGCACTGGCCAAAGCGCTTTACAGGAGATGATACACCATTCACCCATTCATACACAACATTGACACACCTAAAGGCTTTATTCTATTATAAAGCCACGTCCGGTTCTTTCAAACCAGGAACTCAGAGGGACGACTCAGACCACTTGGATATATAAAAAATATAACCGTGCTGGTTTATTCAAAGGGTCACAGGCAAGAATTAACATTACACGTCCAGGCATCTTCCACCCCCAAAACTGCGCGCAGGCAGCCCGGAAGAAGAAGCCCCCCGAACCAAGAAAACCTATACAATATTAATAATTTCTGGGCTAGCCCATACTACGCAGGGCGTCAAACCGTGACGTCACCTGCTATGCCAGCTTGGCAGCTGAGCAGAGCAGTAGACAAAACATGAAGAAAATAATGTGTGTGATCCTGGCTACACTAACATCTTCTAATACAACAGATCTCTAATCAATATCTATCTAACTAAGAAAGTACCTAACACACCGATGACGACAGGCTGCCACACAACGGCGCTAATCAAGCCACCGGGAGCAATTCGGGGTTCAGTGTCTTGCTTAGGGACACTTTGGCATGCGGGGAGACGAACCACCAACTTGCTGGTTAGGAAACGACTGCCCTTCCTCCTGAGCCAGCCACCCACCCACCCCTCATACAAAGAAAATGTTTCAAACTTATTTGCTAGGTTATTACTGGGGATAGAGGAAATATAGAGAGGCTCAACATGAATTGTATACTGTGCACAGAATGTTGTGCTTTGACTCTTAAGCCACTCAGTCTATTTGTAATCACTCATAACAGACTAATAGGCCCACTGTTAGCTTACACTTGAATATGATGCTAAATATTTACATAGAATCAGTTTTATGTGCTAAAAAGACATGATAACAGCAGGCTTTGTAACATTGCCTAACTCATGAATATACCCCCCACACAAACTGTGCAGTGAAAGTGCGTGTGTGCTGGGAAAGAGAGAGAGAGAGAGAGAGAGAGAGAGAGAGAGAGAGAGAGAGGGGGTCACTGTGCTGTCTGCATTCCTATCTCTCTTCCTCTGCTCTGATAATACTTCATTGGTCTCCTACAGAACAGGACAGTGTCTCCCCAGAAGAGAAGCTGAGTGCAGCTGGAACAAACGACAGGAGGGACTTTGTTCAAATCCGATGAGTAAAAGTGCATCAGTAGTTCGACTTTTCATGGGGTTCATTCTCATTGCGACAGGTAGGCTGGCTGCTATCGCTTGGTCTATGTTATATATAGGGTATAGCTATATATGTTTGTCTTGTGTTTAACGTCAGCAGTGGGTATATTTTAACGATGGCCTCTTTCAAATACAAGAATATAGCTACAGCATCGCTATAGCTTCTTCGGCACTGCCAATAAAATAGCGGCAGGTGAAACTATTAACGTGTACAGTAAGTGCAGGAATCCGCTTTAACCAGAAGGGGGCGTTGTATGAGAAGAACGAGACTCATTTACAAACGGACCACAAAAAAGCAAAGTATGAAAATGGTGCGTCTGAATTTGAGTCAAGCAAACTTTAAGCCTTTTACAAAAACACTGAATAATTCCCTCAATGCATCTCAAGTGAATATTTAAAAAAGAGTCAAAGTGTCATGGGAAAAAAAAAACAAATGTCTATACTAGGAGTATTGGATCTGACTCCTAAGTTTATTCCCTTAAATGAATCGAAGCCCATTCAATTGTCGTTTATTCTTTACAAGATTATTCTGTTTTTGTAACAGTGTAGATGCGCGATGTAACGTTTTTTTCACTAGTGCTGTTGAAAAGAGAACATCACTTAGACAGCTGCAGCTCTCCCATTCATAAAAAGCTGATTACATTCCACATATTTGTTAATCTACCTCAGTTTGTTGGTGTTTTGGTTAATTATCTTGTGAATATTCTTTAAAAGCAGTAAAACATCCAAATAAACAAATAACAGCTGAAACATACAGCAGGCTATATTAATATGATATACAGCAGGCTATATTAATATGATATTCATTTTCCTTATTTTTGACAAAGCTGTCATTTTGTTCATTGGTTTTGTTGATAAAGTCATTATTAAAAGTTGTGCAAATAGAAAGACTTCTGTGACTGGTCAGTCCATGGAAGGTGACGAGAAACACGTTGAGAAATGTGGATGTTGAGTAAACACGGACACAGGGATAACAAACTGTTTTCATTTGTTAATACTATATTTTTTATGAGTTGAAAATATTGTGTGGTCTACACATAATAGACAAAATGCTTTCTCTCATTCACTCACTGGGTTTTACAAGCTTAATAAGGATGGATAAATACAGTATTTTTGCTCAGCTTTTTAATTACCACGCATTCAAAGCTCATGTGGGACAGTTATTGAACTTACCTCCCTTTTTAATTACCTCACTGACAGCCCATAAATAGCAAACATAGTGAAATGGTTCTTGTGGCAAGTGTGCACATATAGCAAACATAGTGAAATGTTCTTGTGGCAAGTGTGCACATATAGCATGTATCTGCTTTCCTATACTGCAGGTGTGCATGCCTCCTGTCCCATTGAGCTGAGCCCCCCCAGTGTTGTGGTGAGATATGGGGACCCAGTCACAATCAACTGCAGCACATCGGTGAGCCCGTTGGAAGGACTAGGCTGGGAGGTCACAGTAAATGGCACAGGTATAGTGGAGGTCAACCATTTACCCTGGACTGTGGCGAATCTAACAGAATGGACCATCTCTCCCTCATGCTTCTTCAACCCATCAGAGAACAGTTCACACACACAGTGTTTCAAGAAAGCAAAAGTTGTACTTTACAGTAAGTATAATTGTTTATTTAGCAACAAACAGACTGAGGCTATAATTATACCTGCTAACCTTTACTTTTTCTCCAGCATTCCCAGAAACCATCAGCATCACCTGTAGCGGTGACTCCAAAGGTGTGATGAAAGAAAATAAGGACTATAACTTCACATGTGACATCCACAATATAGCACCTGTTCAGAATCTGACTTTGAGATGGTACAAAAGAGATACAATCATCCACACAGAGACTTTTGACTTCTCCGCTAAAGAACCAATGAATCTGACATCTGTCCTCCTTGGCTTTACACCGACTAGACAAGACAATGGAGTCACATTCAGATGTGAAGCACATATGAATCTGGGGTCAGAAGGGCCCAAATTGAACTTGTCTTCACAAGAGTATAAGGTTACTGTTCACTGTAAGTATGCATGCTTTATAAACCAAACAATTAATTGGTTAAGTGAAAAACTAATGATCAGATGAGTCAGTGAATAATGAAAATAATCATTAGTTTCATCCCTAACTGTCACCTTTCTAAATAAGTAATCATTTTCATCTGATGCAACTGTAAATTATTTTGACCTAATAAGACAATTCATGTTTTAAAGGGGGAAACTAATATTTCAGTCACTTCTTGTTTCTCATTTGTGTCAGAACTGCTTGTTATCTGTTAAAAATATTAGTATAAATGGTTGCTGTTTTTTGCTTTAATTTAGTTGGACCTGAATTACAGTGTTCTGGGACTGACTTACTGGAAGGGACTGACTTACTGGAAGGGGACTCTTTGAAGAATCACTGCCTTGTGGAAGGAAATCCCACCCCCTCCGTGAAATGGCTGAAAGATGGACAGCCTATAGACCCAGGCATCCCTATGAGTAGAACGAATTCAGGACTGTACACTGTAGAAGCTGAGGGCTCTTCATTTATCAACAAAACCCTCCGAGTTCATGTGTTGTGTGAGTGTCACATTCAGTTTTTATGATGCTACCACCAAAAGTTAAATTCAGCTCCAGCATATTTGTAACATTTGTAAACGTAAAGACTCTTTGGGTCTGCTTTTTATAGTGCTTATGTTTGCAAATTGTTTGGCACACAAATAAAGTCGAGCCTAGCTGTAATTAGGGTACTAAATGCTCAGATCCTTTAATTAACAAAGAAAAAGCCAAATTAAATTACTTTGTTACAAGTTAAAGGTTATGTTATTGGTGCCATGTGGAGTTTTCTTGTAAACAGAGTTAGAGACAGGTGAGAAATTAAAGGAAAAACCAACATAAAGTGTTTCAGTAAGCTGTCATGTGCTGCCAGAAATGAAGATGAACATATGCATGCCTTCCCCTGCTACCTGCCTATAAATACTCCTGCTCTCAAGCTGCAGAGTGGTTTGGTTTCTCATAAACGGTGGCCGCAGTTTGTTTCACTTTAACATGTTCACCTTCCGCAGCCATTTGCGGACTTCGTCTCCCATCAGCAGATGTTCGCGTCCTTCATGCATGGTGTTCGCCTTACTCCCCCAGCATCCCTGCCTCGTGCCGGGCTTCCACGAGTCTCTGGGGTGCCATCCAGCCCTGTCCATGTCCCAGGCCTCTATCTATCATAGTGGGGCTGCCCTTCCTTTGCTGGGCCCTGGCTGGTCCTTATCTGTATCTGTTTTCCCCCTGTTCTTTCTTCCTGCAAAGCCGGGCCACCTGCTCCTCCTGTTCTGTTGTTCTGTCTTGCTCCTTTCCTTCTTTGCATCTTCTCTGTGTGCCAGGCCACCCAGCTGCACCTCCTCCCTTTCCTGGCACCATGCTGCTGCTTCTGGTTTCCTCCGCAGGCACTGGGCTGTCTGCAGCCTTGTCATTCCGTACCAGCTCCGAGCTGCAGTCTGTGCTCTCCTCCGCCAGCTCCCACTGGCATCTCCCTTGTTTCCCTAAGTGAAGCCTCCATCTTGCCTCCGGTGGCTCCTCCTCCATTGGCAGTGGCCAGTTAGCGCTGCTGCTCTGTGGCCCTCTTTTCCTGCTCTGCCTGCCACTCTGGAGTTCCTTCCTATTTTGTCCCCTCCTTCCTCCTTCCACAGTATTCTCCTGCCTAAGCCGCTCCTCCTCTGTGCGTGCCTCCTCCACAGTCATTCGCTTTTCTTGGCTGCTCCCTCAGCAGGTATTTGGTGGCTTGTAGAGTGTGACATGGTTTGCTGTCACTGGAGAACTGCGGTTCTCCAGTCTCCCATTCAGGATGAGAGCAACAACTACAGTAGCCAGCAAGGCATACCAGACCACCTCACAAAGATCAAGGGACCTTCCAGCAGTACATCCGATCAACCCTCAGGATGTGCATAAAGTCCAAATCTGCTCTTTTGTTAGGAAGGTCTTTTGGGGGAGTCGCCACACCCAAGTGCTGCACGGATTCACCAGAATCCTTCCCCCAGTCATCAAGCAGCATCAGCACAAAGTTCCATGTAGATGTGGTCCTGACTAGTGAAATGAAGATGAACATTGGAGGTTCAGGAGCAGTACCATGTCCTAATGCATGCCTTACCCTGCTACCTGCCTATAAATACTCTCGCTTTCAAGCTGCAGAGTGCTTTCATTTTTCTTAAAACCCTCCCGATCCATCCCATCCTGTGCTGTCCTTTTTGTTCCTTTCTTCCCTCCTGTGCCTCTCCTCTCCCTTCCTGCTGTTATTCCTACTTTATATGGGACATCCGGCATGTTTGACTGCTGTGCAAATTCACCATAAACCTTCCCCTAAACAGTCACCAAGCAGCATCAGTAGAAAATTCCACGTAGGTGTGGTCATGGGTAGTGAACAGCTTCAATGCACCTTGGTATTGATTCTTCAAGTCTCTGAAATCCACTGGAGGGATGGACACCATTCTTTCAAAAGATATTTCTTCATTGGTGTTTTGATGATGGTGGCAGAGAGCGATGGTCCAAAGTTGCCCATTGTTGTTCAGCTGGGATGAGATCTGGTGACTATAGCTGCTTTACCATTGTCTGGTACTGGCTCAACTCGACTCGACTCAGTTCTACTTGCTTTTGGTACTGGGTGCTTGGTTTTCCACTGCAGATGGTCCCCTCTCATTGTAGCTGACTATCATAGCAACACTGCAATACACTGCCATGACATTGTCAGCAACTGACACAGTAACAGTGAAGGACATCTAAGGTAT